ATGAAAATCTCATTTAGTGCATGATTTAATCTAGTATATTTGTATTTAAGAAAAGCAGATTTGTGAGCCTGGAGATTCATTTTTTATTGCTTTTAAATAAATAAAAATAGATGTACATGTCATAGTTGTGTGGTGTTTCAGTTTCATTGTTAAACACATGGCTTTTGAGTTAAATATTTCACAGTTAGAAAAAATAAAACAGTTTTGTCTTGCAGGATATCTAATATGAGAATCTCAAACAGAAATCTATAATTAAAATGTCAAAACAATGAATATTAACATTAATATAACTCATGTTGACTTTTTTTCAAACTACAAGTCCAAAGTTGGATCCTATCTTTTTGGCTTCATGAGCACTTGTTGCTGCTGGTGAACCTGTGGAGCTCTTACCTCCTCTGCTTTCATCAGTCCCACCACTGCCAGATGACTCACTTGGGGAAGAGGATGGAAATATGGGGATTTCCGACAGGTGATTATCCATCATTTGTCACTGAAAATGGCTTTTTGGCTGATGATGAATGAAGATAAACTTTTTAAAGTATTTGTCGTCTCCTCTCAAGTTTAAAAGTTTCAGGATGGAAACACTTGTGAAGAGTTAACTGTGTAACTGTAGGGCCTCCGGTGGTCCCCAGTGCACAGATGGCAGGACAAGCCCCTACTGTGTTACAGCTTCTGGTGTGGAGATGCAGATCAGCGAGGGTCCTGCCATGAGCTCGAGCTGACACGTGTTGCACGTCGACAGGTTGTATGTCCTCCCACTGGTCGTTGGAGTCCGTCACTGTCTGTGGGTGCTCCTCAGTGGCAGCTCCTCAAAAGCAAGCCCAGGGGGTGGAGGTGGAGGTGGAGGATTAGCCCCAAGCGCTGTGTAAGCAGCGTGCTCATTTGTCACTCTCTTAATCTTTACTGTTCATCTTCTGGATCAATCAGTCACAGTTCCAGAACACTGATGGTGCTCAAACTCGGTTCTTCATCAAGTCCGCAAACAAAAACAGGCATGAAAAGAGGAAAACACAAAAAAAGTGATAAGCCCTAAAGCTCTCTAGTAGAATAGTTGTAACTTTAGACCAGCAGCCCCAGCTCCCTGTGTCTCCTCTGTCCACGAGGGCATCCATCAGTCAGCGCTGTTCTTCAGTAACTGCATTTAAAGGGATGATTACATGAGGTACACATGGTTATATTTGCCAGCCTCTTCAGTTTGTAGTTCCTCTCCTTTCTTTCCTTTATTGCCTCTGAATTCCAGCTTTATTTCCCTCCTGCTGGATATTTGATCTGTATGATTGCTTCCAAATCATAATGACCCCCAGTGTTTGCTGAGGAGCTGCCTATTAACTGCCATTTAGCTTTGTTTTGACAAACTAGAGATCATTCACTTCCCTCTGGCTACCAGGAGAAAAAGGTCGTGCCGGGAATATTATAGTTTTGACTGGCTGATGTTTTGGCTGACACTAATTTAGCTCATTCATGAGGGTCTCCCATGTATTATTAAGAAGCTAGAATCATCATACATGTAACATTTACATAGGTGGCGTTTTGTAGCTGCAACTAACAAGAGATTGGCAGACCAGAGCTGCAAAGAACAAGCTGGGAGAGACTCAGGGAGTGAATATGAAAAGTGTAGCCTTGTAATCACATTTAAATGAAAGTGATTTGCAGTTTACCAAAATGTCAGACAATTTGGAGCTAAATTAAAAGCACTGTACATTATTGCTATGATTAAGACAAGCAAGACCTCAAAACAGAGATGAACAACTCATTAAAATATTACTTCTGGCTGGTTTGTGAAAACCAAACTGCAGACAAGCCAGGGAGAATGATCCCTGTGAATGCAGAAACGTTCCAATTCTAAAACTCAAAGCAGGTCAAACATAGCTCCTGTTTTTAAAGACAGTAAGATCATCCCTTAATGACAACTTTGTGTTTGTTTTCATCATTTGTGTCTTGGCACAGTTGAGTGGTTCAAATAATTCAAATGAATGAATGAGTCTGACAAAGGCACAAGCTGCCATTTTTCTGACATCTGTGCACTGGCAACTGTACAGGCTGTTTATTGTTTGCTTTTCTGTTTGCTAATTGTTCTGTACTTGCATTAATGACTGATTATAGATTGGAATTTTTAATGTCACTGTGGGGCAGGAGAACGAGCTTGAACTACTGCATCTTATTAAACTGCACCCAGCAGACACACAGAAAAGTAAGTCCCATACCCACCTTCCATTTACTATAGGTCTGATTTTTCATCTCCATCAGCTCCTAAAACAGCTGTGTATTATGAGCCAGGAGCAAAAAAGATCAAAAAGCTCAGTACAGCTGACGGGATCTGCAGAGTCGAACAGAGCCACGAGCCACCTTTGAGGACACAGATGTCCAACAAGTGCTCCAACCCAGATAAAATCATATAGGTTTTTTGTCCCTGTACCGATGGATGGATTACTGGGCATGGGCCCAGGGGTCCAAGGGGTCATGTGGCCCCTAGACCAAAGTACTGTGAGATGACTACAAACATTTCTGTTGGAAAGTCACTCAAATGACTCAAAACAACTACAAAAAGCCACAAAATGATAAAATAATAGAAGTAAAACAACTACAAAGAGATCCCAAACCAAAAACAAATGCAAAAATTTGCAGGAATGACAAAAAGAAACACAAAACAACAACAAAAAAATTGACACAAAACAAGTAAAACAAAAATAAATGCAAAATGACTACAAAGAGTTGTAAAATTAACAAACACTAACACTAATGGCTAAAACAGATGCAAACCATGCAACGACAAAGCGACACAACCACAATTTAATTATGTTGAACAATTGGTTGTTTTTATCTGTATTGTATGTGTATATTACATTGTGTAAACTTATTAACAGGTGTTTTCTGTGTGATGACTGTTTCATTTCTGTTTAATTCTAAGCAGCAGAATTTGCTTGAAGAGCAAAATGAATGTCAGTGTCAGCAACTTCCAGGTCCACGGTAACAAGGCCCGACAAGAACTGAAAAACAAACTGGTTAAGGAGATTAGACTGGGACCACATTTTGTCTGCCTGAGCACCAGCCGCAGTCAACAGAAGACTGGGGGAGAAACAGAATTAGCTCAAAAGATTAAAAGAGCAGTGAAGACATACTTCTTGTGAGCACTTTTAGCCATATGGTGGCTACTCTCTTCATCCTTGGCCAACACACTGATGACCTTTGTAAGATTTACCCGATAATTAATCTTCTGAGGTCAGGCTTTCCATGAATTCGCCCTGTTACACATGATGAGACATGTAGATATGGAGTCTTTTTTTGTTTTGTTTTTTTGAAACAAATACAATCTACCTGATATAGTACATATTTTAAATGTCTGCAGAAAAACGCTGGTAATTTTAAAAACAAAACAAATATTATAAAACAGATAAATAAATACTTTTTTTTAAATTAGCTTACCTTAGCCATACATGCCCTGAAGAAGCCTTCATGCTGGAACACACTGACAGATTTGTCACTGATTGTCAACTACATACCCAAATGATCAAAACATGTGATTCTTCTGCTGTTCTTAACCTCCTCAGCGCTTCCTTGTTTCAGCAGTAGAAATAGTGGTGCTCAATTAATTACAGTTAAAATAAGAAGTTCACATAGACCTTAGCCAAATACATTTAAGCTCCTGACATTTAATCCTATAAACATTCCCGGTCTTATGTCAGTTAGGATCACTACTTTATTTTAACAATATGAAATATCAGTATAATAGTAGAGAGAAAGATTTATTTCAGCTTTTATTTCTCTCATCACATTTCCAGCGGGTAAGAAGTTCACATACACTTGATCAGTATTTGGTAACATTGCCTTTAAATTGTTTAACTTGGGTCAAACATTTTAGGATGTCTTCCACAGGCTTCTTCCAATAAGTTGCTGGAATTTTAGAACTTTCCATCAGACTGGTGGAACTGAGTCAGGTTTGTAGGCCTCCTTGCTCGCACACGCTTTTTCAGTTCTGCACAAAAATTGTTCCATTGGATTGAGGTCAGGCCTTTGTGACAGCTGCTCCAATTCCTTGACTTTGTTGTCCTTAAGCCAATTCAATTTTTGTTTTATTCAATCAGGACATTTCTCCAAAAGGAAGATCGTTGTCCCCATGTGCAGCTGCAAACTGTAGTCTGCCTTTTTTAATGGAGCTCTTGGAGCAGTGGCTGTTTCCTCACTGAGCATCCTTTCAGGTTATGTCGATAGAGGACTCATTTTACTGTGGATACAGATACTTTGGTACCTGTTTCCTCTGGTGTCCTCACAAGGTCCTTTGCTGTTGCTCTGGGATACTTTTTAGACCAAAGTACGTTCATCTCTAGGAGACAGAACGCATCTCCTTCCTGAGCAGTGTGACGGCTGCATTGTCCTGTGGTGTTTATGCTTGTGTAGTATTGTTTGAACAGATGACCATGGTACCTTCAGGCATTTGAAAATTGCTCCCAAGGATGAAACCAGTCTTCTGAAAGTTCACTATTTTTTTTCTGTTGTCTTGGCTGATGTCTTTTGGTTTTCCCATGATGTCAAACAAAGAGGTACTGAGACGTAGGTACCGCACCTCCTTTTGACTCAAATGTCAATTAGCCAATCAGAAGCTTCTAAAGCCATGACACCATTAAAACAGGTGTCAGGCCTTTAGGAATATTTTTCTTGTCCAAAGTTAAAAAGCCTCAGAAACAGCTTGCTGACCAGTCTCTGATTTAGACTAAATCCAACTAACTGACTAGCATATCACTTGCCTCCGCTTCATATACTATGCAGCTTTAGTTTACTTATAATGTGCTGGTGAATCCTTTTAATATCTTATGAGCAAAAGGACCTCATGAGTGAGAGCATTATTGCTTTATTATTTATTAAAATCATGTGTATTATCCACTCAAATAATATGCTCTATGCAAGAAGGGTTAGGGTTGACATATCCTCAGTTATTAACCTTAGTCATCGTTATCAAAAAGTAAATAGAGAGGATGATTGCATCTAAACATTTTACAATATTAGTGCTTGACAAGATGCTGCATCTTTTTCACTTGGAGCTGAGCAACTTTTAGCTTTCAGTATTAACAGTCTGTGATTGGTTACGATCACCTTACTGTTAAAAATCTGTGAAAATTTGCTTTCTTTAAATTTTCCTGCAGACAGTTTTGATTATTTCTAGTATATAAAAAGCTGTCCTAAGGCTGTACAATCTCTTAAAGTTGACATTTAGCAAACACAAACAAATGGGACTAAAAATAGTATCAAAACTGGAAACTTTTTACTGATGCAGCTTTTCTGCAGTACGTCACACCAACAAAAGATGCAAACATCAATCTTTCCTGTTGATAGTTCCGTGCTTGTTGTCCTGCAACACCACCCAGCTGTGACTGGACATGCACAGTATAATTCCCTAAGAGAGTAAAAGAAGAATAAAAGATGAAGTAAAACACATACACACATATACTCAGGTCTGCCTTGTATATTGTGACTCCATGTTTAGAAGGTGACAGCTGCAGCTGGCCGGCCAGGCACATCACAGCACTACTACAGTTTACATAATCAATCACCATCGAGTTCTAGATGAAGACTTGCTTACATTAGCAGGGCATAGATTATTCCAAGACAAATAGATTAGCATGGGAGCAGTCTAATATTAGGATTCAAAGAATGATTAGAGGAGCTGTGTTATGTAATGACATTAACTATGACTATACTTCAGATGAGAATTTGAAAACAACACAAATAAAATGACACAAACCTTCATCAACCTACATCTGATTTTACCCAGCTTTCTTACCACCAGCACTTTGTACATTATACAGCCACTCAGTGTCACCTAATCATTCACAAATAGATCCTTGGACTGAGGCTGATCAGTAAATCATTTGTAGATTAATGGTGGTTCCTTAGATTTTATATTAGGTAATAAATTGTTACCTTGGGGTTTTGAAATCCAAATATTTGTCATTTTTTAATAAATCATGTGTTGATAGAGACAAGTCAGAGACAGTCTATGATGAGAAACAAAAAATAACTGTTGTTCTTTTACTAAAATATTTATTCCGTTTTATACATTATTTCATTTTGTTCCATCAAATTGGTTCATTTAACTTTTCTATTCATGGTTCTTCGTTTTCCTGTTCTTGTGGTTTTTTTTAATATGGTTTATCTGTACTAGTACAGATTATGTGACATGTGTTCTCAGGTGTTATGATAAACCCTTGTTTCTTTTGTCTGATGAATACACAACTAAACAGTTTTCCTCATAAATATGTCTGCCATGTTTGAGACCCCGCTGCAGCACACCTGATTACATCGCCGGTCAAACATTCAGTAACCTGGTCGGCCTGTGAAAAAAGATTTTAAAATCGCACACGTACACAGGAGAAAAGTGTTACTATGGATCACAAAGTAAACTCCAGGAGCATGGAGATGAGGGCTAGGGAGGGGTGGGGTTACTGTTAAAATTGATCTGGCCAGTGCTGATGACAGCAGTGTTGCTGCATCCTCACATCAGCCCGGCATCAGTTTGTGAGTGTATGTGCCTTGCGTGTTATATAACAGGGTGATTAAAGCTGCCTTTAGGATCTGACTGTGGTTGCTGAGCCTCTTACCTATGGGTCAGGTGTGTCAAAGCTCTGGCAGCAGATCTTCATCTTCCACATCACTCAGTAGCTGTGGAGTTACTGAATTTAATGTACATACAGTATATATTTATGCCTCCATGCTGGCAATAACAGTGGTCTGAGGCATTAAGTTTTTAGCTTGTCTGTCCATCCATCAGGCCCATTGTCAGAAACGCAATATCTCAGCAAAGCTTTGAGGGAATTTGTTCAAGTTTGACACAAGTGAGGTTTGACACTTGGATTCAAGAATGAACTGATTGGGTTTTTATGGTCAAAGGTCACAGTGACCTCATGTCTGTCCACACAAACAACCAAAAACTGTCATTGTGGTTGATTCATATCATGCACCCATCCTGTCAAGCGCTTTAGTTTATGACTAAGAATCTTAAAAACCATTTGCAAGACTTACATCAGATTTGGTGTTTGTATTCATGGTCCACAGAGGATGAATCCTAATGTTTTTAGGTAACTGCCAAGTCCTTCTGCACAAATTCCAGGCCAGTTTTTCACTTCTACACAAGAAAAACATAAATGTAATGGTCAGATGTTTTGGTGTAAACTTTGGCAATTAACCTGTTGATGTCATAAGTCAGTTGTGCTCAGGTCTGAAGTTACTGGGGGCAAACATGTGTATAGCCCAAGTGTGTCATGCATGAAAATGCTAACTGCCCTGTTGCTTAAGTAAACAGCCTGAGCATTAAGTCAAATTACTTTTTATTGTCTCCACAAGAACTCAGCACTAGAATGATACTAAATCTACTGTCCATGCTTCATACTACTGTTCTTATGTTTCTTAATGTTTCTGCAGGTTGGCATATTAATTAGAATAATCTATTTTTAGTAGCTAACCCCAAAACTTAGTTTGCACCAAAGTATTTGACACAATACCTTGAATTATGATTTCACTTTATAATCACCAACAATGAAGTGCATCAAAAGGCAGCAATTAAATTCAACACTTTATGAATTAAAATGAGCATCTACAGCATCCTGATGGTTGAGTATTTAAGATGTGCAACCTTGGTATTCAAGTCATCTTGTGGGGAACATGAATAACTCAACTAAATTTCATCATAATCAATCCAATAGCTGTTGACACATTACACTCAAACTCAAAAATGTCAACCTCATGATGGCACATGAGGAAGTAGGATCACCAGTGTCATGCTGATTCATCCTCTGTGGACCATGAATACCCATATAGAATTTCATGGCAATGAATCACTTGTTGAGATACTTCAGCCTGGACAAAAGAGGTCAACTCACTATCACTGCCGTCCATAAAGCCACACTGATTGTGAGGTTAAAAAGACTTTTACAAGGTATAAAAATGATTAGACCAAGCATCACCTGGTTGAGTAAGAGCCTCTCTTCTTTCACAAGTTCTTTCTCAAAGTCAGCTGATTTTTTGAGGAAGGACATGAGATACAATCAAAAGTTCCACACGCCACTGTAATGGTATGATCACAATGGGACACATCCATAGAAATGCTGGTTATTACAAATGATGTGTTTACTCCTTTTTATGCTGACAGCTTTTATTGTTTATCTGAGATCTTTATTTATTTATTTTACCATTTTTGTGATGTATTCAGTGTGGCCATTAAAATTGCAATTAATTGACTACATATAACCATAATCCCTGGTACAGTCCAGGGTCCCTATCCAGCTCAAGGCTCTGAGAATCATTCTGGGGCCCTTACAGATGTACTCTACGCAATGCAGTCTGTGTATAAACTGTTGGCAGGAGTGTGGCCGGCCATGTATCCAGCTGTCCATCTGTCCTGACCTAGATCTCTGACAATAAAGAGCTGATTCCTAAAGCAATGTCGTGCTGCTATCAGCAGAACAGCCCAGAGAGATAAACGTCAGATTGGACCTTGGCTGAGCCTCTTGATGCAGCTCAGGGTCCTGTGGTTTGTTTAGGAGATCGACAGACACTTACTGTAGCAGCCAACTGTTGCTGTCGCCGTAGGTGGCACTGTTTTGTTTTTTGTTTTCATAGCTATTGTTTGCATCCAAGCTGGACAATAGACAAAAACTTTCATGCTGCCTAGAGCAAAGGCCTTTTGTTTAATGTATAAATATGTCCTGACATTCTTTGACTGAGCTTTCAGGTACTGGGCAGCTATTGAATAACCAAAGAAATGCACAAAAATAAACTTGAGTCTCTGTACAATGTATGTATAAATATGTGTTTGACAGTGTGGACATTACAGCTAAACAGTGAAATAACTTAAGAAGATCCTAATTATCCTTTTGAATGTCAACTATTGTCAAAGAACTGGATTAAAAGTGTGCCCAGGCTGTTCATACTGTCTGTAAAGGTGCATGTTGAGACTGTTTTTGTTTGTTGTTGTTAATAGTGCACAGGTCAGATGTTAAAGAACTGACAAATAAGACAGGCTCATTTTTAGACCAGTGCTCAGGTCGGTCAAACTTTTTTCTTTACTGTTTTAGTTGTAGTCAAATAACAGAAATATAATATTCTTTGGAATCTTGTCCTGCGTAAATGTAACTACAAATGATCTCTTTTACTAACTTATTGATAATTCAATTAATACCTGTTTTATGGCTTGAACGTGCTGGAAGGACAGCGGGAAGCAAATAACAGGGATTTAGCTTTGGAGTAAAACACTTCTAGTTTCAGCTGCTAACTTTACCTGCACTTTACCTTTACTTTTACGTTTTCACCTAAATTTCATTTTTGATTTAGATGCAAACAAACAAATTAGACACACATCTGATAAATGCCTATCAGTCAAAGACCTAATTCCCCTCAACTGCTGCTGCGGATTAGTTCAGATGACTTTAGATTAGATTAGGGCCCCTGTGGAAACGCAGAGGAAGCAAGAAGATTATAACAAATGAGGTAAATGAAATGGCCATTGTTGCATTACTGCTTTGTTTTAACAGATGGAAGGATGTACTTTAAGGAGTGTTACATTTTATAAATGACATCATTGGAATAACTTTGTACAAAATAAAAATTATTTCCTACTCTATTGTACTCGTAATGTACTTGATAGAATTAACATAAAGATGCTATTTTTTTATTACTGTCAGTGAAATGTTTGACAAAATCAGGAATTTAAGGGCATCAGTGTCGGCCTTGCTAATGGGTGATATGCATAGGACATTGTTTTGACATTTTAGACTTAAAAATCGTTATTCAATAAATCAGAAATGACTTTTTTTGCCACAAGTTTATTGGAAAATGTTTTTTGCCACTCCCAAAGACAAATCAATTAATTAGAAACTTCTTTGTGAGTCTCAGGAACGTACAGTAACAGTAGCTGCAGTGTTTACAATGCATTCATTAACAATGGAGCCCACTTAGCTTTAACAGGGCTCTAATTCCCCACTCAACCCCACGCCTTCCAGCTCATCTCCTGACTGCTGACACAGCCATTACTCACCAGTTTAAAGCAGCTCTTTGGTCGTGCAGCTCAGCAGGCTTGTTAAGGTTTTGGGGGTTGTCGCATGTTGGTTTGGGAGGAGCTGTGTGAAGTGCAAAGGGTCAAGCCAATGGGCAGCTGGGATTACCACCAGCCCACCATCTGTTATCCAAATAATCAGAATGAGAAAATCAGTCACCTGAGTAAATATCATAGGTACATATTTAAGCTCATTTAACCCAGTAAATTAAACTATAAGCCAATTTTCAAACTATTTCACTGCTGGCCAGAAGAGGTATGTTGTCAGTATGAGTCTTCACTGAGCTCCTTGTTATGTTATATCTTTGGGCTATTCTGTACCACGTAAATATGTGGTCTGTGTAGGTGTGTCTGCAACTCACTGACATCACTGTTACCAGAATGGGCTGCTTTTTCTTTACATGTGTATGTACTGTATGTGCACCTGGTATTATTCATTCATTTAGCAGTTCACACAGCTTACTATATATTTCTCAAAATTAGAAATACACATCTAAATTTCATAATGTTCATATGACACGACATTCACTACAGACATCAGATAAGATATTAAAAATACAAGAGCACTGATGCTTAACTTTTTGAGTACAATGATGCAGGTTATTGTTTATAACTTTTAAGTTATTAACATTATATATACAGTAGTTGGCACAAGCAAGCACTAAACTGATTTAAAATCTGAACTGCAATACAACTTTTAACCCAACTACATCATAAAAACTGCACTGTGTGTAATAAACTCCACTGAGGACTCAGTTTTGGATGAAGAAGTCTTCCCACATCACAGCTCTGATAGTAGGTATCACAAACTGAACTCTCCAGATGTTTTAGATCATAGATAGATACCAAGCTTTATCTAACTTGGTATTTAATTCAGTGTATTAACAGCCCGGCCCATATGAAATCTTGGTTGTGTCATACATGGTAGCTCTTAAGCCGACCAATATGACCAATAATGGTCAGATTTATAGTTGCAGAACACAGATGCTTGTTCTTATGAGTCATGTAAACAACATCCTGAGCTTACAGCCGCTAATTAAACAGATGTCTCATTTGGCACACTTTTACCGCCTTTAACTAATGCATCATATTGTTATCTAATCGGCTCAACCATAATTAAAATTTGATCTACATCCTCTCTTTTGAATTGTATTATCTTCAAACATTTGGATCTCCAACTGTCTTAATCCCAAAGACAACAATTCATTTGTGTGCAGCAACATATACATTATAAGAAACCTCCCCTGTGCTCCACACCAGCTTCTGTGTATTAACTAAAAGGTAGAGAAAACAAATGTGGCCTTCTACAAATAAAAAAAAATGGAGGATCCTATCTGATGCAGCAAGACCCAGGTGCCCACTGAGCCCATGTATTGTTCTGTTGTCAAGTGTGATGGTGCAGAGCGGTGTTAGTGGGGGATTAGCGAGCGGCGGCACATGTCAGGGAGTGAGAGTGTAGACCAGAGCGCCCTGGTCAGACCCTGCAGGCACATGACTGAGCATGCTTCATCGCAGCACAGACACAGAGGAGGGGACAGCTTGTTAGGCGCCTGGTGATACAACATCCTGAAGTTTTTCCACACCTGCAGATCAGTGATATGTATACCAATAACAAAGTAAAAGATACTTTATAGTGCATCAGTACCCAGCCAATACACATTTGGAATCAATACCATTTAGGACATTGTTTTTTAGATGGTGATGTCAGCTAGTTAGCTATTGCTTTGCTTTGGTCTAGGGCAAGATATCACAGCAGCCGAAATAGTGACTAGTGATTTCTAATGCTAGCTGCCTCAGTGTATGCCACCAATACTTGGCTTTGTTGGGGCATCATGGTTTTCTGACAATCTGACATCACCTATAGGTGATGTTTCAAATATATTTTTCAAGATCATTTTCTATTTACAATGTTTGTTTTTCGGTCAGAACCATTTACAGACAGAATGTAAATTTCTTTAATCAGCGGCTTGTTTTTTGGTTAAGCTTTTATTTAAGCTTGACTCAAAGCATCTTTTAAGACTTTGAGTCTGTTTTCTTCAGTTTTACACATGTAACTAGGGCTACAAGTAATTATATTAATTATCAATCAATCAATTTTTTAGTCTGGTCTGTAGAAAATCTGAAAATTGTGAAAACAAGGACATAATAATTTCCCAGAACTGAAGGTACTGCAGTGTCTTCAGATAGTTTTTTGTGCTTGACCAATAGCCCAAAACCTAAAGATATTCATTTTACTACAGCATGCGGTAACTACGAACAGGAAAAAGGGACAAATCCTGAAACTGGAGAAGCTGAAACCATCAAAAATGTTGTATATTTCTTTAAAATAAATAAATGACTAATCCAAATAACTGCAGATTTACAGTTCCATGTGTAACTACAGTTATTATAGGAGGTGTTTGGTGCTGCAGTTTTCATTCTTTTGTGTACCTGAAGGAGTAGATACACCTGGGGATAAAAGTGCACACTTTCCTGTGAGGCACCTCTGCACACCGGGCCAATCACTGTGTGAAGTGGGTGAGGATGTCAGATTTGGTAAGGTACAAAAATGCCAGAACCAGACCCCTGACCCTCCTACACTGATGCACTATTCCTGAATGCATACAGTAAATGTTGAAGTTACTCATGAAGGATTAAGGCTGCTGCTGCCCTCTTGACGAGCTACATTCACTAGTGTAGACTCCCCAGCGTGTTTGCAGCCAGTAAGATTGCTGCCATATAATCAGGACGGGAACTCGAGCTGCCCCTCACCGCTTCGCCGTGGCCCCACTCATTATCTTATCTCCCATTGTGACCCGCTGTAATTCCCCCTCTCATGATTGATGATGTTGCTGTCTGATTACACCGAGACAAAGCCCACCTAAGATCACCTTTCATTCCTGTGGCCAACTCCACGAGCTCCATGAGGTCCGCTGAAGAGCATGATGAGGGGTCGGTGAAGCTGTGCAGCCATGTTGAGCTGCTGTCACATATACATCAGGTTTGTATGATTAGTGAGCAAGAATCAGCCCGTGTTTTAATATGTGGGTGATAAAAAAGTGCTGTCATTAAGTAGTGCTTATTAATATGCTCAATACAGTTGTGTTCTTCTTAAAGGAGAGTAATTAACACTGACTCATGTTTGATTGGTTTGGATTGTGATTATCTTGATGCAGCTGACAAGACATTAAGCAAAGTTTTTGTGATGAGGAGCTTTTTGTGGTAAGGCACAGAAAGAAAGACAAAAGCTATGGTGTTAAACATGTAGACTGAAGGCTGCATCAGATCATGTCCCTGTTCAGGCTTGGATAAATCAGATAGGTAACCTGTGCTCTTTTTGAGTGAGACAGTGAGCCTCGTCTCTCCATGTGGCAGGTGAAGACAGATGCCTCATTATCCATGCCAAGGGGACAAAACAAGCCAGGGACCCAATGCCCGCAGCCCCCCGCTGGCATTTAGTTTCCACTGTGCCGACACAAGGCAACCTTGGACCATCACCGAGCTGAGCTCATCTCTGACCTCAGTGAGCGCAGGTCACTCACAGAGTCACATTAAACTTTCAGAGGACCCAAAGGTCCCCGTCAGGAGTGTTAACAGCAGCATTGTCCCTGCTCCCCGTGACTCAAAGGGACAAGTGTAACAAGGCACCCCCTCCAGTGGCCAGGGCTGCCCCCTGGGTCCACAGATACAGTGACACCCTTCAGATCCATCTACAGCTCCTTTGAGTCTCTGAGTCAGATGGAGAAACAGAGGTAGAACATTCAAAAGCAGGTGCTTCAAGTTTTACAAGCTCAGTGTAAAATGTCAGCGGAGCTGCACTGACACAGACAACAGTACTTCAAACGTGTGTTTTAGAAGAAGACGCCAAACTAAAGCAAGTAACCAGCGACTGTAGGTGTGGGATCAGGCTCAGATGATGGGATTGTCCCTGATCACATTAAAAGGTGCAGGTAGCCTAAACATGCTGTCACACTCTGCCAGCTAAGAGTTACTAAGTATATACTTCCAATATGCTTGCTTTGACTTTTAAAATATTTCAATTAAATTGACATTTGAAAGCTGTGCAGAAAAAAACATGGTCCTTAGAGAAGATACTCATCAAATGGTCATGGTCCTTCTGCCTGTTAGGTTGAACTGTGGAAACTGTACTCTTACTGCAAGTGAAGTGCTGCTTTATTGGGGGCAACTTTCTTAGGTTTATATTTACTGAATCTAAAATCTCTACTGTGTCATGAAAATAATATTTCACATAAGGTCTTTATTTTTATATTTAACATTTCAATTTTATTAGCAATACCTTAATTTTGAAAATAGAACTAATAATAAATTCGGCCAAAACAAAGTCTAAAGCCAATCTGTTCTGATATGACATGATAGATGTAGCTGCCAATTGTTCCTGAAAGCCAAAAGCCAAATCTCTAGTGAAACTAGTGAGACGCTGAACATTGAAATGAACATAGTTATACGATCTACATTTTTGTTTATGGTCACCCACCAGAAGAGAGCAGACTCAAAGCCTGCTGCCACTTGATCTACTAGCTTGTACTCATTTGGGACGCCGCGGGGAACACCAATTGCATCAATATACATGGGTGAGAATCTAGCTGGATCAAACAAGGTATCCCGCTTTATCCGGTGTCCCTTAAGGGGATGACCAGAACCTAATTCAATGTCAGAGACTGCAGCTTCAACCACTGTAACTGGAATTATATTATTATTTCTGGTATACCAAACCGAGGGATTAATTCTCTTGTGAGCCATTTAATTACCTCTTTACCAGTTTCTGATTTTGTGGGAGAGGCCTCAACCCATTTAGAAAACGGATCCACACATACCAGTAAAAA